CATGTATTTGTATTTTTCTATATTTAACTTTAAGGATTTCCCAAAGGCTTTGAGCCTGTCGAGGGGATCTCCTGCAAGAAGAATGAAATGACATTTTTATGTAGAGGGAGCAGTTAATTGAGGATAGGCTAAGGAAATAGATCGAAGCATACAAAATCTGGTGATTAAGGAGTTGGGATACCGTCAGTGTAATGAATATATCGGCGAAAATGCTGATAGAGAGAATGCTTGAATCCCAGGAGGCTGGTTATAGAGGTAAGAGAAGGCGGTAGGCAATTCCATAGCATTGCAGCTTTGTTGGAAAAGAGGGAAGAAAAACGCCTACCGTGATAATTGATGTGAAGTTTGTTTGGTCTTCTTGGACTTGAAGACAATGAAAGGTGAACATGTCGGATGTGTTCTGGAGATATATGTATAAATTTAAATAGAGTAACAAGAGCTGATCTTGTCTGCGAAAGTGCAAGGACTCTAAGTCACAAAGGGCATTTAACTGGGATTTCGTTTCGCATCTATCTACATTGACTTTTTTACGTAGCAAATACTTCCTAGCTACTCTGGCTTGTAAAATATTTAAACGCGCCAGCTCAGCTTTGGTGATGGCATAGGACCAGGCCGAGGTGGCATGTTCCAGGGCGTGTCGGACAAAACCTTTATATAGAAGTAGCTGTATCCTGGTTTCTTATCCATAGCTGAGACTAGATCTTCCATGCAGTATTCTCCGGAAGTCCACATTTGATCCCGAGTACACATTCTATACATTTTAATGGCATTATAAACATGAAAGATCACAGTGTCAAGAAGCATAATTTGAGCATAATTTAGTGATTTTCAGAGCATATTGCCAGCATACTGAAAAGCATAATCCGTGGGATTTTTGAACATTATCCGCCGACGTCTACTTGTAACACTTTGAAGTCATTGAACTGCTTCCAAAAGTTTTATAGACATCAACATGATAACGATTTCACTACAATATTGATGCTGGATGACCTTATCACGACAACCCATGACTACAATTATAAACACAGAATCAACAAAAACATCTGCGGCGCGCACCTGGTTACAATTCTCATGTAAATGTGATTCAAGCGGGATTCACAGAAGCTTTTTTGCGATGCGACACGCGATGCGACGCGATCTGCGACGGACGCGTGCGAAGCGAACTCGCGAAATACCATTCACAGAAGAAGTCAGCGATGCGACACATTTTTGCAAAGTCTTGCTGATTTGAGTACGTCACCATGATATTTGCGCGGTTTGGTACCACCTGTACAAATTTATAGGCAACTCTTGCACCTTTGTACAACTTTGCTGTAGAAAAGGTCAAAATCGTACGCCAAATCGCTTGTCGCATCGCATCGCAAAAGTTGAGCCAAGCTCAACTTCTGCGATGGCCAGCGATGGCCCAGTTGCGGCAGTTGCGTGGGGTGCGACATGGCTGCGATTTGGGGTTTTCCCGGTTTCGCGCCTGTCGCATCGCGTGTCGCATCGCAAAAAAGCTTCTGTGAATCCCGCTTTAGGGTGTGGACATCTGAATTTTCTGAAAGACAAGACAATTTTATGACAGAGTCATGGAATTCTGCAACATCCACAGAATGACCTGCGTATAAAAAAAAATATCACCGCCACTACTCATATGATTCCCCTGCAGAAGAACATGAATACATGTATGCAAGACTAGTTCCATTTTCTGCAAGAAAAGGCTTGCACATCAATGCGTATAATACGGTATTGAAATTGATATGATACACGTACATGTACATAGCCATAGGGGCTCCCGTAAGAAGACCATAGGTCTGTGCGAAACACCCTAGTAAAATAAAATAATAATAATAACATGTAGAGTCGCTACATGTAGGCCATCATTTAGGGCATTCCATTGGTGACACAATTATAGGTTCTGATCGGTGGAATATGCTGCCTTCCACTGTTCGCTCTTGTACAGATTATCGCCGATTTGTTCGTTCATGCTTAACCTTTCTAGGGGCTCCCGTAAGAAGACCATAGGTCTGTGGGAAACACCCTAGTAAAATAAATAAAATAAAAATAATACCGGTAATATCCTTTAGCCAAAAAACAAAAGAAATTATAGCAATAAAAACTGCTTTATGGCAGTTTTCTAAAAAAGGTTATTGTGTTCTAGTCCATGAACCCCGTCTAAAAAGTAAGAAATTAACGAAATGTGATAGCCGAAAATTAAAATTTCACACAAAACCTCACAATAATCACACACAGGATGCAAGACGACCTTTTCCCCTCGTGGTCCTCTTTCACATGCAAGCATGTTGGCGCAGTACAAGTACTTGTACAAGTACAAGTGTCGGAATAAACAAGTGTTGAAAGCCGTACTATTAGATCTTCAAGTGTCGTGATTATTGTGAGGTTTTGTGTGAAATTTTAATTTTCGGCTATCACATTTCGTTAATTTCTTACTTTTTAGACGGGGTTCATGGACTAGAACACAATAACCTTTTTTAGAAAACTGCCATAAAGCAGTTTTTATTGCTATAATGTGCACACCACAGGGCTACCACCCGTTGGTAGATCTGATACCGAGCACGTTACGTAGAGACTTACGTAGCCTAAGTGAAATACCGAGCACCTTACGTAGAAACTTACGTAGCATAGCGATGTCGTTTTTTCTGCCATGTGAACACAATAATAGAAAAGCTGACAGGATCGCTTTTCTAAATACTACACCCATTATGCATAACCGCTAGCTGTGCTGCATTCTCACGCTTCTTTTCATAATACTCTAGCTATATAACTGGTTGTTTTTAGTGATTCTTAACATGTGACGATGTTCCACTGATGATGGTCACACGAAAACGTTCTGGAATTGTTTCATTTTAATTGTTTATACATGGTTATGAGTGCACAATTGATATTTTTTATTGCTATTTTACGACTGTTGTCTCCCCGTCGGTTATTTAAGGGGGCACATCACCCAAAAATTCGCTGAAAAATCGAATTTGTAAATTCATATTGAGTGCTACGTCAGTTGAAAGAGCATGAATAGCTGCAAATTCTCTGAAAACTGTGTCCCTATCTGACCAGCCGTTCAAGAGTTATGGCCGAAAATGTGCCCTTGCAAGGAAAGATTTTTTTGTTGCATGCTGTCATTTGTTGGCAGCACTGTATTTGAATGTGAGCAGACCGTGCGCAACTTGTCGTATTATGGAAACACGCGAAAGTGTGCAGAATTTTGCCCAAGTCCAAAAAAGTCCAAAAAATCACGTTAAAAAACCACGTATTGGGCTGCACGGCGGCGGGCGAAGCCCGCCGCCGTGCAGCAGGACTTTTGCCAGCACCCTCGTGACGTTGCAGATATGTGGCTTGATTATTGTAGTTGACGTTGATTTAGTGACTTTGGCAAGTTTGAGTCGTGTCAAGAAGTCAGGTAGGATTCAGTACTAGGCAGTAGTGAAACGTGAGTGGCAGTCTTTGCCGGTTTCTGAGGGCATCCTGGATTTGGTGTGCAGCGCTGTGGAAATGGCTTGCTGTGGAGGTCCCAGCACTGGATGTTGTATCAAAGGTACGACCTCGTAGCACGTGCTAAACCTAAAAAAATTCAAAAATTGACTTGGGCCTGTAGGAGTCCGCGAGAGAACGCCCACTCGTTCCGTTGTGACAGATTCCAGGGCCACGTAGAGGGGCCCTACCCCACCACCCATGGCTGCTTCTGGACTTGTTTTAGGTTTGGGTCCCGCGCACGGACAGAATGGGCACGAAAATGTGAAAAAAATGTAAATGCATTTGTTTGGCTCCTGGGTGGCTCGCACACCGTGGCACTATGCCGGAAATTTGAGTTTTTCCGGCCTGGAAAGCCTGTCAGTGAGGCGCAAGAACTTGTAAATCATGTCCTGAGGGCCAGCGTAGTGGCAGGAGTGTGTGGTCAAAATTTCACTCAAATCCACTGAGAAACACCAAAGTTACGGTCAATTGAATGCCATATGAAATTTTTGGGTGATGTGCCCTTTTTTTTTGAGTTACCTTTGAAAATTATCATCACGGTTCAATTGTCTTCGCAATCGTCATACACTTCCAACTGATGTCAACCTCGACCTGCGATTAATCAGCTCATCTCTCCGGTAGCTCCACCTCTACTTCCATCATGACCGAACATCAACTTTACCTCAATTTGTGTAATTATTAGAACAATATCCATAGCCTGCGCAGTCATGGCTGCTAAAATCCAGAGGTCATGACAGGTCATTACATGCGTAATGTACATGTACATGTTTTTGCGGACTACCCGTCACTATCTCGTTCGCCCCGGGATACCTGACCAAGGCTGATTCACTCGCATCTTCTGCTACTGTACCAGTGTAAGAAAGAACATTGAAGAAGACGAGTTCGAGCATACAATAATGTTTTGCCATGATTTCTACCCTGCTTTTCATTGAAAACACGATCTGCATGACCTCCGAACCCTTTACCATGCAGACCACCAGCACTAGTCATGTGAATTGTACACAATTGTGTAGCCTACATAGAACTGTAGTACAATCCGATGTAGTAATGCTACCTCCGAAAGGATGCCAAATTATGCTCCAAATTTTCAACCACCAAATTATGCCAATAATTATGCCGGCATAATCCGCCGGTGCCTATCGGGTACTACATGTACATTGTACATGTACAGGTGTAGGTGTGCACGGGAGTAAGCTCACTTCTTGCCTTCACTTAAAAGTCTTTACTACCACTCGGCTTCCTATTACAGAATGTAACATAGAGTAAAACCTGTCAAGGCGACCACTCGGATAAGGCGACCAGCTGTTCAAGTGAACCACTACAACCAGGACCAAGTGTTGTCAATTTTACTAGTACATGTACAATGTAAGTCAAATGACCCAGGAAACGAAGCCCACCTGTACTCAGCGACCACATTTTGAAGGTCCCTTGAGTGGTCGCCTTAGACAGGTTTCACTGTATTTATAACGGTACTGAGCAGCCTGCACAGGAATATCCACTCCACACAATTGAGCTGCAGAAGGCCATGCATGGAATATAGCATACTTAGATGTGTCTTCATGTACTCTGAGGTCAAAATGCATGCCTATTCTTAAAACGATAGCAATAAAAAGGAGTTTTGATTGGTAGCACAATGTCATACAGATGCTGTGTCAACGAGTGTGCGGCCAATGACCGTGTGCTCAGCCTACCAGAAAATTACTTCGAAGTATAAAAATGACCAGTATCCCGGATAAATCTCACACAGAAAACACAGCTCACACTGTGCGCACAGCAGGTAGCCGAGCGTTTCCCTTTCCTCCTGCCCCAACAGCAAACGTACATGAATTGGACGGTGGAAAGACTAGACCGAGTTCTCCAACTAAAGGAGCGCTTGCTTTTCTGCTTGTTGTCCTTTCCCGGATTTCCCACTTGGTGTGTGTTGGTCAAAAGTACGATACTGTCCACTTGATGCAGTTTGCCTTCGAGAAGCGGACTGACTGCTCCTTTTAACTTCATCCCCAGACGCCATCGTCGCCGCAGCAGGCCCGGACCTTGTAAACCTTCCACTCGCAGTCATACTCGCACGATGTGTTGTGTCATGACCGTCTGTCTCTGCAGTATCACTTGCCGTAGCTGCGATGCCATCGGTAACTGCTGTGTCGACTTCTCGATCTGGCGGTCTAGGGAAGTTAGTGCTCATGACGTTAACAGGCTTTTTGCTCTCCTCCTCCTGTGGCCAGTCAAACAGCTTTGTGTAGAATGTATTGGCTAAAAACGAGCGGGTCGTTATGGAAACGATGAGGGAGAGCGAGTCGAAGTCCGAGTGTGGAATGTGGCGTCTTCTCAGCGTGCTGGATATCTCCATTGCATCGTAGCCAGCCAGCAGAATGCTGTGCAGAGCACTAGCTACCAGGAACAGCTGCCAGCCTAGCCTACACACTCTGGCGCCTGCTCTGCTCCTAGCTACTGCAGGCTCACTGTTGATGGTGGCACACAGTACATCGCCACTAACATGCGCCACACACATGGCCGACATGAAGTACATGGCCAGCTCAAGCTCATATCCCAGGAACCAGATATCCCTGGAGATGCCATGCAGCTGGGTATCAAGGATGCAGAACGGTTCCAGAATCATGCACACCAGGATCAGCATGAGCAATATGTAAAAACTTGGCATACGTGCAAGGTGTAGTTGCACTAGCCTGCTGACATAGTATTTCTCCCACAAACATAGCACCACCAAAAACCCAAGCAGGGTTGTGCTTTCCTGGTAGAACGAGAATGCCTCAAAGATATTGTAGGCACGTTGCCCCACAGAATTCACGCCCTGGCATAAACTGACTGTTGTGTCATTGAGGGAGCACGCAAACCCCGCGTAAAGGTGCATGCCTGAAGACGTGAGACGCATCAGTGAAGTTATCCACGCCAGCGCTACCACAGCGATGAATCGAGTCATGGTTGCGTCCTGCTGACACATGACGTATGCATGCATTTACGCACACGCACAAACACATACCGGTATGCACACACACACACACACACACACACACACACACACACACACACACACACACACACACACACACACACACACACACACACACACACACACGCGTACAATACATACATGTGTACATATTATGAGTAAAACTCGGCTGTATGGCCAACCCCTACAGTACTAGTATTAGGTGCGGAAGAGCTAGTCACGGGGTGTCAGCTTTGTAGCCTAGACCATTCTTAGTTTCATGTATTGCCACCCTGGTATCACAGGCATGGTGATGGCCTGGCACAAGCGAAACTTCCTAAGCTAAGCTGGTTGTGTTTCTCAACACGTATAGCCTGTTGAATGTGGACGTGCGAACTTACTTTTTATTTTTACATTAGTACAAGTATATGCGCAGTGAAGTCACCGTTTGATCCATAAAAATTAATGTTTTGCTTTTTGAAAGTTTTTTTCTCTCTTTGGTATACGCCAGTAGTGTACTCAGAAGTAGTTGGAAGTTCAGCACACTGACACACTGACAGGCTTTTTTTCAGTTCAGACGCAGGGTACCGGGTAGGAATTTGGCTTGTCTATGTTTATACATGTACTGTCCTGGACATGGAAATCCGGTCGAACGTCTAGCGGCCCCGGGGCGCTGGCCATGCAGCCGTGGATGAGCGGCACACTAGGGTCCAGGGATTCTGCCGGCAGAAAAATTGGCAGAATTCGGTACTTTTTCTGGTAAGGGGTCGTCCATAATTATCGAACTTTATTCACAAAACGAAATAATTTCGTTATGGGGTGGGAGGTGGTTGACCAATTAATATTTCGTTTCAGAAAACATTGATACATGTGCATGCCATAGGAGCAGTTACACACTTGCAACTTTTGTTGTATTATGCATGCATATGTCAAACTTTTTTTTACGTTCTGAGGGGAGGGAGGGAGGGGTTGGGTCTAAACTAAAATAATTCGTTTGGTGAAAAACGTTCGATAATTACGGACGGCCCCTAAGTTTCATGCATGTTTGGTATGTGGATAAATAAAAGAAATGGAGCAGAATTCGGTTTGTATGGTTCTGCCAAATAATTTACTGCTTTTCGAGCAGAATCCGCCTGTCCCTACGGTAGACACGTGCATTTATGCGCTGCAGCGCGCTGGTCGCACTGGATCAACATGTTAGTGCACTGCACACAGCGTTCTGCACGCGCTGAGATGAGGGCGCCGGCCCTGGCCAATCGACTGAGAGCACACGAGATCTACATGCAGTGCAAGCCTGTCTACAAAAAAATGCCACAAGGACTTTTGATTTGAGCTGTTTTGTTTTTGTTTAGACGTCTTCCTTTTTACGACTTCAGGATGCCTTCTCAGGATCATTGCTGCGTTCCTCACTGTCAGAACAGGAAGACGAAGCAAACAAGTCATTTCACTCCTTTCCTCGTGTGGAGCCACAGCGGCCTGGAGCAAGCGGATCCAGGCTATTCCCCGTGAGGAAGGACGTAGTTTTAGGGTCACTCTGAATATTTGAGTTGCAGCGATCATTTCGATCCCGAAATCGAAATCGTTTTGCCCAGCTCTACAAGGACAGGATGAGTCCAGGAAACCAAACAGCTGTCCTACGGTACCAGGTTTGCTTTTCGCAAGAGAGTGGAGTCTGGACGCCCTGCTCCCCATGCTCGCAAAACAGTATTTGCTGAGCCTAGTGCAGTTCGGTCATGGAAGTGCAGCGTCTGGATCAGCAATCACGAGCTCCCCATGCTCGCAAACCAGTATTTTGCTGAGAGGCAACGGCACTTTGAGTTGGAAAGGAACCTGGCTTAGTGCAGTTTGGTCCTGTAATGGAAGTGCAGCATCTGCATCAGGAGTTGGCAGCAAGTAGAGCTCGTGTACAGAGTCTCGTGGAGCAGTTGGACGATGTGAGGACTGGGGTGAAGAAAGCCGAAAAACAGCTTACGTACAATAACATAAAGAAAGACTCTGAGCCGCTCCAGTTTCTGACTGGTTTGCCTTCAGGTGTTTGGACCGCTCTGTGGGACTTCTTTGAGGCTAGCCGAGAAAATGTACTGCGCCGCGCCAGATCTGCGAAGACGGAAGCTGAGGGATGGCGGATACAGTTGGAGGTGGCCGTAAATCGCCAATGAGCATGTAATGGAGAATCAGCTGCTATTGGCATTGATGTGTCAAAGCCTGGGCCGAATGGAACAGAAGCTGGCATGCGTGGCACAAGTTAACCATCCGTTTCACGGTATATAGCTAGCTGAGCTGGAAACATGTCTTGTTCCTCCGTTTGGGCATGATCCCCATCTGGGTGAGCTGGCGAGATGTTCAGTCATCAATGCCATGTACCGCAAGACATTCTGCAATGGGGATGAAACAGTTCTATTTTGCCATGCACTTAGGGTTCTCGCACCGGCACGGCACAGCACAACAAGACCCAACAGATCCTTGCGCTCTTATTTTCTCCCATGGTAACATTGCCGACCACAACACCCGGTAGCCAGTCGCAGATGCAACCAAATCAACCAGGTTCTTTTTTTCCAATACGGAAACCAAAGGGATACCAATATTTACATCGAATGCAGTGATGATTTCAATACTGTTCACTAGTACAACGCATTACCAGACTGGCATATAATCATGAAAATATTATCCATTTCGCAATCACTGTCATTGCTTTCTTAGATCTCCAATCATCAATATCGGACCATAAACCGTCTACTAGTATCATCTTATATTATTTCATCATTGGTATCCTGCTACTATCCTCCTCTAACGATGAGCTTGAAGAAACGAAACGGCTGTCTAGAGGCGTAAATAATATCTGTCAACGGAAGTGTCCTTGCTGTGCTGGTGTGTTTATGCTTCGTGCATTAGTTCGGCCAAGAGCGCATGGTGGTGGCGGGTTGAGGATGTAGTACAGCGGAGTATGACCGAAAGCTCTGTCACGATGTATTTTATTAGGAAGGTATAGAAACGGAAAAAACTGTATCTTCATCTTGGGCGTAAACAGCCCGTCTCACATTAAATATACTAGAAAATAGTTCACTCTGAACATGCAGTCTTCCTAAGAGAGAGAGAGGGGGTATATTCATAGGTTCGAAAGAACCGCACACACTTTGCTGCAGACAGCGGCAAGCTTTGGCCCTCGTGCTTCGAAGAGGGAGCAATCCACTGCGCTACGCTTGCGATTAACAGCAAGCTTCAACTTTTCAAAGGTACGACTCATCACTGGCTCTGGGGTAATGTTCCTGGAACAAATGCCCCATTGCCGACTGAGGGCCAGGGAGCACGCAATCTGCCTTCCTGGGCGAGAAGTGTTCCAGCACAAGAAGCAGCACGAATACATGCTGACAAAGACCACCATCACCACCAGCCGGCACACAGCACACTGTTCTTCAAACACCATCCACTCCGTCCATGTGTTTGCACTGTCCTCCTCTAGCTCTTCACGCTCAACAAATACCACGCACTGCTCATCGTTTTTTTTTTTGCTTCCTCTGGGTTGGCTAGCCCTTCGACTTGACAAAACAGCGATCACCACTGCACTGCTATCGTCACCTCATACCAGTCGCTTCCACCAGTGGCTTTTCCTGTCTTTGCAAGGTGTCCAAGGATGGCTGCTGTTGTCATTACAGGCAAATCAGAAGTACTTTAGTGGCTGATGTCCAACCAGATCGTTGGAAAATCGATTTTTCCTCTTCAGGGCTGCTGATCGCGATCGCGACTTGGTGACTTGGCAGCACCACGGTTACCTTCATAGAAGATGGCTCTGGAGAGGAAAAGGCAGACCAGAAAAAGGTTACTATTGTCTTCAGCACCGATCTCAAGGAGAAAGATATACGGTCTGCTAAAGCCTAGGCACAAAATAAATCTCAAAACACGATTCACGATTCGAATATTTCAACAACAAAAAAAACTCACCTCTGGAGTAACTCCTGTTTGTGGCCCGAGATCGTTCCCTCCAGCGCCTTGAAAAAATCCTACAGCTGCATCACAGTCCATGTCTCTCTCGGAGACTCTGCTCCTACCAGCAGGAGGTTCAGCACCGCTCGAAGCCATCGCAAACTACTTGAACTAAGCAGAACTTCGGACATTCCAAAACAAACCTGAAACACACTGTCAAAGATGCTGTCACGTTCAAAAACTAGCTCGATCGCGAGTGAGGTTGCCCCCGTGCTCGAACCCAGTATAATAAGGGGATCGGTCTATTATAATGACATTTTCATGAAGCGTGTTCTACTTACGTAAATTACGCCGGCTAACGTTACTATGCGGTGTATATTTTGCTCTTTGCGGCCAGCGAGTCCTGCTTTGTTCTGAGTGCTCGACACGAAGCGTCTCGCCTCCTGCGTTCCGTACACAGCTACATGCACGTTCTCGGCCGCAGCTGCTTGGTATCTGCAGGCACAACTAGCTACTAACGTATAACGACGTTACTTTCCAGACTGAGATAATCGGAAGTTTTCAGAGGCAAGACAGGTGGCTTCAGGCGGCAAAGCAGGCTTCCAGCTGGTCACGTCAGACGGCAACGGGTTATTTGTTTAAAGTCTGCTGCTTGAACTGCAAGAAGATGGAGTAGCTAGCCTACGAAGTAGGGTATGATGGTAAACGACCACCGGAACTACCAACTCAGCTGCAAATTGCAGAAAGGCATTGTGATGGGTCCAACAAGCACTTGTCCGGCTGGCGCAGAGCTGAAAATGAAGTGTACATGACGTACAATGTAGATTCTAGGCTAGGATAGGTAGTACATGTAGTCCTGGCTTGTTATTTTGGGTACTACTCGTACTTTTCACAACAAAAATGCAATGGACGGCCACGCTCATGCCACTGCTTCATCACTAAGCCTAAGGGCTACTGTAAGTGTAACTGTTCCATGATGCTATGCGCGAAGCTCCCATATTTCGTTTCACAAAACAATTCCGAGTCGGAGTGTAGATATATTATCTACTCGAGACATGCATTGACTTGTACATGACAGTCTACATTATACTTATAGGCAGAAGGCAAGTGTAAGTCATGTATCTCCCGTAGATCTAGATCTACACATGTATTGCGTGTCGACATGTCGTTCACTGACCAAACCTCGACATGACACACGTCATGATAACGCACCGCGGTGCGAGCAGTGCATGCAGTGTCTGTGATAAGTGATAACGACTCAGTCACTGATTTGAAAGGAGCCACAAATCTAATACTACAAATGTAGTTCTACTAGTTGCCAAAACTACAATGATGGAGGTCTTACCTGAACTGAACTTCTAGTTCTGAAGGCTGCGCTGACTAGTGTAGGCGACCTTTTGCTCTGGACTTCTCCTCGTGACAAGCGCGTGTTTGTCGGTGGGGAAACTGCGCTTCGCTTCGCACCAACACGGAGTTGACGACGGTCTGTTGATTCTTGACCGTGAGTCTTCAGCCTTGGCTTCAGAGTTCAATTGAGGTAGACTGTTTCAGTGTTTGGCTATGTAGCGCGAACAACTACAGACAGTATGGTACGCACTTGTGAAGTTGTGGTTCTTCTTGAGCCGTTATCAGGTTACAGTATCCCTTATCACAGACACTGCTAGGTGCGCTATCTTGACGTGCCTGTCCGGGTCTGGTCTGTGAACGACACTGTCGACACATCTACACTGACTACAGGATACATGTCATGAGTCATGAATCACACTGCCTTCCGCATACATGACCGTGTGTCTCGCGGCCACTCGGATTGCCTTGAGAAACGAAAGGAGCTAGCTTGGGCATAGCATGGTACCAGTACAGTAGACCTTACTACAGTGTAGTGATGAACCGAGGCAGGGACATGAGCGTGGCCGTCCATTGCATTTTGTAGTGAAAAGTACGAGTACCGAAATAACACTTCACACTTGCCACGTGATCGTTGCCACGGTTTGAGCCAATCAGAGCGCTCACAGGCATGGGCATGAACCTCTGATCATGCCCTGCCAGCCACATCCAGGGAGTAGTACAATGGTGTACTCCCTGGCCACATCTACTACCATGCACCGCGCTGTACACCCCATCACGTGATCATTCATGCCCTCCTACCATGTGTGAATTTTACTCATTCACACATGGTAGGGCATGAATGAGTGAATTCACACATGGGTATATTCACACATGGGTATATTCACACATGGCCATGGGTATATTCGACATACATGCAGTGCCATTCAGTCAGTCCCTTGACCAATCAGCACGTCCCGAGAGCGTGTGGAGGTGAAACTGAGCACGGGGGGGATGAAGGTATAAAAGGAAGACACTTCTAGGGGTGGTGGTCGGGGACGTGGAGGACTCAACCTCAAAAGATGAAACTTCACCTTCCTTGCTTGACATGAAACTTCAGAAGGAAACTTGAGAACGAAACCTCCAAACAGAGGTGGAACTTCAGGACCTGAAAGATGAAACTTCACCTTCCTTGCTTGACATGAAACTTCAGAAGGAAACTTGAGAACGAAACCTCCAAACAGAGGTGGAACTTCAGGACCTGAAAGATGAAACTTCACCTTCCTTGCTTGACATGAAACTTCAGAAGGAAACTTGAGAACGAAACCTCCAAACAGAGGTGGAACTTCAGGACCTGAAAGATGAAACTTCACCTTCCTTGCTTGACATGAAACTTCAGAAGGAAACTTGAGAACGAAACCTCCAAACAGAGGTGGAACTTCAGGACCTGAAACGAGAGCGCACGGAACTAACCTCAGACCAAAACAGCGCTGCGAAACCTCAGCATGAAACTTCAGAAGGAAACTTGAGAACGAAACCTCCAAACAGAGGTGGAACTTCAGGACCTGAAACGAGAGCGCACGGAACTAACCTCAGACCAAAACAGCGCTGCGAAACCTCAGCATGAAACTTCAGAAGGAAACTTGAGAACGAAACCTCCAAACAGAGGTGGAACTTCAGGACCTGAAACGAGAGCGCACGGAACTAACCTCAGACCAAAACAGCGCTGCGAAACCTCAGCATGAAACTTCAGAAGGAAACTTGAGAACGAAACCTCCAAACAGAGGTGGAACTTCAGGACCTGAAACGAGAGCGCACGGAACTAACCTCAGACCAAAACAGCGCTGCGAAACCTCAGCATGAAACTTCAGAAGGAAACTTGAGAACGAAACCTCCAAACAGAGGTGGAACTTCAGGACCTGAAACGAGAGCGCACGGAACTAACCTCAGACCAAAACAGCGCTGCGAAACCTCAGCATGAAACTTCAGAAGAAAACTTGAGAACGAAACCTCCAAACAGAGGTGGAACTTCAGGACCTGAAACGAGAGCGCACGGAACTAACCTCAGACCAAAACAGCGCTGCGAAACCTCAGCATGAAACTTCAGAAGGAAACTTGAGAACGAAACCTCCAAACAGAGGTGGAACTTCAGGACCTGAAACGAGAGCGCACGGAACTAACCTCAGACCAAAACAGCGCTGCGAAACCTCAGCATGAAACTTCAGAAGGAAACTTGAGAACGAAACCTCCAAACAGAGGTGGAACTTCAGGACCTGAAACGAGAGCGCACGGAAAAAGATGAAACTTCACCTTCCTTGCTTGACATGAAACTTCAGAAGGAAACTTGAGAACGAAACCTCCAAACAGAGGTGGAACTTCAGGACCTGAAAGATGAAACTTCACCTTCCTTGCTTGACATGAAACTTCAGAAGGAAACTTGAGAACGAAACCTCCAAACAGAGGTGGAACTTCAGGACCTGAAAGATGAAACTTCACCTTCCTTGCTTGACATGAAACTTCAGAAGGAAACTTGAGAACGAAACCTCCAAACAGAGGTGGAACTTCAGGACCTGAAACGAGAGCGCACGGAACTAACCTCAGACCAAAACAGCGCTGCGAAACCTCAGCATGAAACTTCAGAAGGAAACTTGAGAACGAAACCTCCAAACAGAGGTGGAACTTCAGGACCTGAAACGAGAGCGCACGGAACTAACCTCAGACCAAAACAGCGCTGCGAAACCTCAGCATGAAACTTCAGAAGGAAACTTGAGAACGAAACCTCCAAACAGAGGTGGAACTTCAGGACCTGAAACGAGAGCGCACGGAACTAACCTCAGACCAAAACAGCGCTGCGAAACCTCAGCATGAAACTTCAGAAGGAAACTTGAGAACGAAACCTCCAAGCAGAGGTGGAACTTCAGGACCTGAAACGAGAGCGCACGGAACTAACCTCAGACCAAAACAGCGCTGCGAAACCTCATCATGAAACTTCAGAAGGAAACTTGAGAACGAAACCTCCAAACAGAGGTGGAACTTCAGGACCTGAAACGAGAGCGCACGGAACTAACCTCAGACCAAAACAGCGCTGCGAAACCTCAGCATGAAACTTCAGAAGGAAACTTGAGAACGAAACCTCCAAACAGAGGTGGAACTTCAGGACCTGAAACGAGAGCGCACGGAACTAACCTCAGACCAAAACAGCGCTGCGAAACCTCAGAACGAAACAGCGCTGCGAAACCTCAGAACGAAACAGCGCTGCGAAACCTCAGAACGAAACAGCGCTGGAACTTCAACGAAACAGCGCTGCGAAACCTCAGAACGAAACAGCGCTGGAACTTCAGGACCTGAAACGAGAGCGCACGGAGCTGGAACTTCAGGACCTGAAACTTTGTGAGCTGAAACTGACGGCTTGCCCGACAGCGCACGGAGGTGGAACTTCAGCTTGCTTGTGAGTTTCTGCCATTGTTGTGCAACGAGTGCCATATAGTAATAAAAGGACTTGAGAGCTTACTTGTGCAAGCAGGCACTCGGTGTTTCTAGTTGATGTATTTCAGGTTCGATTTATGTAGATTAGTGCAGTGCAGTGGCTTTTTTTGCGCTGCTAGCATCCTGCGGGTTCGCTGTAGGTGCACTTGCACGTTCTGCTGAGGAGAGCGTTCTGGCTTTGGCTTCTGCTGTCGTGCGTGGGTGCCAGTCTGAATCACAATCAATCAGACATGGATGTCAGGGCAGGTATCGTTGATTGAGGCCGTGGAGCGGCCAAGAACTCTTCATTGCGCAAGGGAAACAAGACAGTAGGGCATAGAGGAACAAAGAGAAAAGCGTTCTTACTTCAGACTTGGGAAGAGAGGAATATTTACAAGTGTGACAAACCAACGAAGCTATTTATTTATTGAGAAGTTACATGTTACTTTGCACGTGCACGTTCTGCTGCGGAGAGCGTTGTGTGGCTTTCGCTTGTGCTGTCCTGCGGATTTATTTGCATTTATTTGCTTTGCACGTGCACGTTCTGCTGAGGAGAGCGTTGTGGCTTTCGCTTGTGCTGTCCTGCGTGGGTGGCAGTGTGAAACACAATCAGACATGGATGTCAGGGCAGGTATCGTTGATTCCGGCCCTCGAGCGGCCCGCGGCCTTCGGCCTTGGGCCGCTCTCGGGCCTGAATCAACGATACTGCCCTGACATCCATGTCTGATTCTATACTTCACACGCGGCCAGAACTGTCCTGCATTTGTTTGCAACTCTGCGGCAGCCGGGGCAGAGCCAGTTGGACCCATCCGACAATGCCTTTCTGCAATTTGCAGCTTAGTTGGTAGTGCCAGTGGTCGTTCACATAATACCCTACTATGTAGGTAACTGGTTAGCTACTCCGTCTTCTTGCAGTTCAAGCAGTAGACTTGGTACAATAATCCGTCGCCGTCTGACGTGACCAGCTGGAAGCCTGCTTTCCCGACTGAAGCGACCTGTCTTGCCTCTGAAACTTCCGATATCTCAGTCTGGAAACTTCAAAGTAACGTCGATAGTACTAGTAGTTAGTTCTGCCTGCAGATACCAAGCAGCTGCGGCCGAGAACGTAGCAGTGCACGGAACACAGGAGGCGAGACGCTTGGTTTCGAGCACTCAGAACAACGCAGGACTCGCTGGCCGCAAAGAGCAAAATAAACGTCGTCCGCATAGTAACGTTTAGCCAGCGTAACTTACGTAAGTAGAACACGTTTTATGAAAAAGCCATGTATGGAATGTTCATTTTCAATGACCAGTGTGTGTGTCTAGCTATAGAGTATGATCGGGCGCCGTAGAACACTTCGCCGAAGAACACTTAGCCTGGAGAATGGCAGAAATTGCAGAACAATCCAGGCTAGATGCCATGCAGATTTAAGAACACATGACTGTACTGCTTTATACATGTACGGGGGGGGGGGGGGGGGGGGTGATCGCATCGTATGATGCTCTCCATGATCGCGGAATGAGAACAAAACGACCAATATGCGATCATTTTATAACAATACCAGGCTACGTCTTGAGCCCCTCCATTCTTCGGCGCCTGATCTCACTGTACTTAAGGCACTCTGCAGACTACGTACATAGAACATCCAGTACAAAATCGCATAAAACCTAAAAGGCAACATTTTTCCAAGCCTGCATTCAGACTACACATTTTACATGCAATATACAGGCAACCGTTGACCCTACGCAATCGCGCAAGGGGCCTGGGATGTGTGAACTGAGCAGCCGGCAGTCGTACCCGGGTACAAAATGTGTACGACTGCCTGGTGAAAGCAGGGAGTAGTACAACACCACTCCCTGGGTGAAAGTACGATAAATGCAGGAAAGGTTGCCTTGTACATGTACAAGGGTTCGCACCCTGCTGCTGAGTGAAAGGATTGAGCAGCTTTTTAGGCTCCCGCCAGATTCTTGTTGTTGTCTTGGAAACTTCTACAATATGTGACTTATAGGCTGTTTTGTACCTAGTCTGAAGAGGGCCTTAACCAGGGAGTTGTACCCAAACCAGTTTGGGTACGACTTCCTGCTGTAAACACATACAAGCCAAATTCATGCCCTGCGTCTGAACAAAAAAAAAACAACACTTTGTTACTGTGCTGAACTTCCAACGTCTGAGTATAGTTCTGGCATGTACCGAAGAACAGAGCGCCGTAGAATGTAAAAAAAAGGAGAAGAAAAAAAAAGAATTTCACGAAGCACTGCATACGGTTCATAGTTATGGTGACTCCACTGTGCATACAATGATGTACATGAAACCAGGGAGTCGTAAAATACCGGTATTTTACGACTCCCTGCATGAAACTAAGAACGGTCTAGGCTACAAAGCTGATACCCCATGACTAGCTCTTCGACGCCTAACAGTACTGCGTGTAGTGTGGGGCTTGGCCGTACAGCTGAGGTTGCTCATAAGACATGTATACATGTGTGTGTGTGTGTGTGTGTGTGTGTGTGTGTGTGTGTGCACGTGTGTACGTGTGTCTGTGTGTACACGCAGGCGTGCGGGTGTGTGTGTATGTACATGCGGGTGTGTATGTATGTACATGCATGGGTGTATGTTTGTGCGTGTGCGTGCGTGCATGCATATGTCAGCAGGACACAACCATGACTCGATTCATCATGGTGGTAGCGCTGGCGTGGATAACATCACTGATGCGTCTCACGTCTTCAGGCATCCACGTTTATGTGGGGTTTGCGTGCTCGTTCAATGACACAACCGTCAGCTTGTGCCAGGGCGTGGATTCTTTGGGGCAGCCAGCCTACAATATCTTTGAGGCATTCTCGTTCTACCTGGAGAGCACAACTCTGCTTGGGTTTTTGCTGGTGCTATGTTTGTGGGAGAACTACTACTTCAGCCGGCTAGTGTTGCTACACCTTGCACGTATGCCAAGCTTTTTCATATTGCTCATGCTGATCCTGACCTGCATGATTCTCGAGCCGTTCTGCACACTTGATACCCAGCTACACGGCATCTCCAGGGATATCTGGGTCCTGGGATATGAGCTTGAGCTGGCCACGTATTTCATGTCGGCCATGTGCGTGTTGCACGTCAGTGGCGATGTACTGTGTGCCACCATCAACAGTGAGCCTGCTGTAGCTAGGAGCAGAGTAGGCGCCAGAGTGTGCAGGCTAGGCTGGCAACTGTTCCTAGTGGCTAGTGCAATACACAGCATTCTGCTTGCTGCCTACGATACAATGAAGATATCAAGCACGCTGAGAAGACGCCACATTCCACACTCGGACTTCGACTCGCTCTCCCTCATCGTTTCCATAACGACCCGCTCGTATTTAGCCAATACATTCTACACTAAGCTATTTGACTGGCCACAGGAGGAGGACAGCAAAAAGCAGGTTAACGACATGAGCACTAACTTCCCTAGACCGCCAGATCGAGAAGTCGACACCGCAGTTACCGACGGCATCGCAGCTTCGGCAAGTGATACTGCAGAGACAGACGATCATGCGAAAACACAGCGTACGAGTATGACTGCAAGTGGAAAGTTTACAAGGTCCGGGCCTGCGGCGGTGACGGCGGTGGCGTCGGGGGATGAAGCTAAAAGAAGTAGTCAGTCCGCTTCTCAAGGACTAACTGCATCGAGTGGACAGTATCGTACTTTTGGTCAACACATACCACGTAAGAAACCCAGGGCAGGACAGGAAGAAGAAAAGCAAACGCTCCTTTAGTTGGAGAACTAGGTCATGTGTTTCCGCCGCCCAAGTCGTGTGCGTTTGCTGCTGGGCACGAGGAATGGAAAACCCCCGGCTATCCATTGTGCGTACAGTGAGGTTTGTTTTCTGTGTGAGGTTGATCCTGGATGCTGGTAATGTACATGTAATTCTCTGGTAGGCTGAGTACACACCCATTGGCCCACATTCATTGGCACAGCGTTGTATCTGTATGTGCTACCAATCAAAATCATTCTATTTCAACGGCTTTCGTTTTAGGCATATTATGCGGTGCATTTCGACCTCGGAGAACATGAAGGCCCTTTGTAATAGTCTACTTGTACACATCTAGGTATGATTGTCCCGCGTTATTCTTCATCTCATGGCATTCTCTCGCTCAGGTGCGTGCCGGCATTCCTGTGCCTGTGGTCACTACCGTTATAAACTATTTTCCATTCTATTGTTTCCGTGCAGTGTGGTTACTAGCTAATTCGATACTCCGAAGTACACGATCCCTTTTTTCTTCTCTTTTTACAATCATTCGGATGCTGTGTTTTCTATACCTAGTCCTACAGAACTAAAATGTATACACACACACAATACTGTCATGTTCTTGAACAATCCTGACTATCACTACCATCATCCATGGATGGGGATTCCATAATTTTTTATTGCATGTATGTGGCTGTTAGTACATTTATTCCTGAGCCTGAATAAAATGATGTGTGTGTGTGCCGGTGTGCATGTGTGTGCGTGTGTGTGTGTGTGTGTGTGAGTGCCAGCTAGTTCGGTTGGTGGGTACACTTATGCCAGATAGTGTTGGGCCTGTTGCCAACGGGCTCGGCTGCTTGAAGGTGTATTGTTGTACCTACCACCTTTGTTGGTTTCAGGGTTCATATACTTTCTATTTGAAGTATACATACCTGTTAACCATGGACTGCTTCTGGCTAGATTAACTCTTGTGTAATCAATGGTGCTAGTGACGCTTAGATCAGATCCACTCTGATTTAGCCACCCACACTAGTAGTAGCAAGTATTACCTTCACGGGGGGGGGGGGGGGGGGCAGGGGTAACTGCAGTTGGATCCCAGGACGGATACCCTGATGCCGTCAATCCTTTTCTGCACCTTGTCCTCACCCACTTACTGAGGTGTGGTGAGCCCATAAGTGGGATCATTTTCAAGTCCACCCAGAGTTTTGGGGATTTCAGGGGGTGTCGGCCGTTGGGCGGTTCAATAGCCAGTTGAGTCATCTTTCCAAGATTCCTTTTGAGTCTCTCTCCCCTCTCCCGGGGAGACCCACGTGACCAGTTTTGGCAGTGAGCAACAAGTACAAGCCTGAGTGTGTGTGTGTGTGTGTGTGTGTTTTGTGAGTGTGTGGGTCCACCCAGAGTTTGGGGATTTCAGGGGGCGTTGGCCGTTGGGTGGCTCAATAGCCAATTGTCATCTTTCCACGGCCAGGCTAGAATTTCACCAAGCACAGCATGCCAATGTATACACACTGTGACAGTGACCCAACTGCGCATAGACTAATAATACATGGAAATAAGAACGGTCTCATTTAATAATATTTACTCCTGCAGCCAGCCTTGCTTGCTACTAGTACTACCAAGAGTACATAACCCCACGGTGTTATGTACTCTTGGTACTACTAACCCAGTATACAGACTCAGTCAACCATGTACATCAGGGAGTCGTCAAACTTGACGACTCCCTGATGTACATGTACTGCAGTAAGTACTTATAATCGCCCTACACGGTCCAGACGCACAAGCACGCACAGACAGTACAAATCCATGGCAGGAGCATGACGACAGATAGATACTGAGATACTCGTACCGGTATTTTTCCCTTTTTTTCTTTTTTTGATTTTTTGATTTTTGTAGCTGGAATTTGTGGAAACGAAATTTTGTTTTTCTGCATTGAGAGAGAACCACATGTATTTCTTGGAACTGAGAGCAAGCAAACGTCTTTGTACTTCTAAGCCGTGGTTCTTTGCCACTGTGTCACGACAGAATCCGTGTTCAATATACAACCACTTGATCTTAGCTTAGTCAGGTCTCCGCACAAACGGACGCGCATAAGTGGGAGAGCTTTGGTAAGGGGAAGCCTATTTTATTTTGGTTTTGTCAAATTTTATTTCAATTGAAATGTTTGCTGCCAGTACTGTATCAGAGTTTCAGCTACCGATACTTGTATTATTTCGAGTCCACTAGTTCTCTAGTGTTTCTCGCGTATCCCATTATTATTTTTAGCTTGAGTTCTGCTGTAGCTGCTCGAACAGTTAAAAATAAATAAAAGTAAAATAAAATATTCGCTGTCGCACCGGCATGTGAGTCACCCAGCTCAGAGACTTATAATATTGGGGTCCGGTTCATTCAAAGATGTGCTTGTGAGTTGCTGCTGGGCCATACAAGCTGGGCTGCGTACAAAGTCCTAAGATTTCCGGGATATTTAACTTTCAAAAAAGCAGTGTGCCATGCCGCAATAATCCCGACAGGTCACAAGTTACTGACCACTGGTGCATGCGACTCAGTACCCTATCTAACCACATTTAACACTGAACGCGGCGTCAACCCCCGTGTGATTAGCCCGGATTTGTCTGGCTCCGACTGTAGCCTTTGCGGTGGCATCATGGTCCTGTTGTGTATGGCCGACCTGTAAAGGGCGAACACTGAAAGAGTTGACAGGCACAGGGGGGGGGGGGGTCGCAAATTGACTGGTGCACTCCTGTTCCTGGTGCCGTGCCATCTGCGATTCTCCGCAGAACGGACTGAAAAAGAAAAATCGACTGACACTAGTAATCCGGACATGAACCAACATTGGTGATGCCCACTGTCCACCGGGCGTGGACGACATTGCCACCTACAGTTGATCTCCCTTCTCAGAAGTTGAATTGTCGCAGAATCCAACTCCGATACATACTAAAGAAAAGAGGGAAAGTAGTAGCCACTCAGCCACACAACACCGATCATGTGAGAAATATCAAACCAAGGTGTGTGTGTGTGTGTGTGTGTGTGTATGTGTGTACGTGTGTGTGTGTGTGTGTGTGTATGTGTGTGCGTGTGTGTGTGCTTATACAAATACTTGCATTCTTATCGTAAGTCACTGATCCTTCTCAGGTCCATACCTACGTTGTATGCACAGGCAGCTACCCATTGCGCCATGTTCTGTGCAACATGCCCCCTCCCCCCCCCCCCCCCTCCCTCACCCATGTTGTCCTGTGCAACATGCCCCCTCCCTCACCCATGTTGTCCTGTGCAACATGCCCCCCTCACCCCTGTTGTCCTGTGCAACATGCCCCCTCCCTCACCCATGTTGTCCTGTGCAACATGCCCCTCCCTCACCCATGTTGTCCTGTGCAACGTGCCCCCTCCCTCACCCATGTTGTCCTGTGCAACATGCCCCCTCCCTCACCCATGTTGTCCTGTGCAACATGCCCCCTCCCCCACCCATGTTGTCCTGTGCAACATGCCCCCTCCCTCACCCATGTTGTCCTGTGCAACATGCCCCTCCCTCACCCATGTTGTCCTGTGCAACATGCCCCCTCCCTCACCCATGTTGTCCTGTGCAACATGCCCCCTCCCTCACCCATGTTGTCCTGTGCAACATGCCCCCTCCCTCACCCATGTTGTCCTGTGCAACATGCCCCCTCCCTCACCCATGTTGTCCTGTGCAACATGCCCCCCCCTCCCTCACCCATGTTGTCCTGTGCAACATGCCCCCTCCCTCACCCATGTTGTCCTGTGCAACATGCCCCCTCCCTCACCCATGTTGTCCTGTGCAACATGCCCCCTCCCTCACCCATGTTGTCCTGTGCAACATGCCCCCTCCCTCACCCATGTTGTCCTGTGCAACATGCCCCCTCCCTCACCCATGTTGTCCTGTGCAACATGCCCCCTCCCTCACCCATGTTGTCCTGTGCAACATGCCCCCTCCCTCACCCATGTTGTCCTGTGCGACATGCCCCCCCCCCTCCCTCACCCATGTTGTCCTGTGCAACATGCCCCCTCCCTCACCCATGTTGTCCTGTGCAACATGCCCCCTCCCTCACCCATGTTGTCCTGTGCAACATGCCCCCTCCCTCACCCATGTTGTCCTGTGCAACATGCCCCCTCCCTCACCCATGTTGTCCTGTGCAACATGCCCCCTCCCTCACCCATGTTGTCCTGTGCAACATGCCCCCTCCCTCACCCATGTTGTCCTGTGCAACATGCCCCCTCCCTCACCCATGTTGTCCTGTGCAACATGCCCCCTCCCTCACCCATGTTGTCCTGTGCAACATGCCCCCTCCCTCACCCATGTTGTCCTGTGCGACATGCCCCCCCCCCCTCCCTCACCCATGTTGTCCTGTGCAACATGCCCCCTCCCTCACCCATGTTGTCCTGTGCAACATGCCCCCTCCCTCACCCATGTTGTCCTGTGCAACATGCCCCCTCCCTCACCCATGTTGTCCTGTGCAACATGCCCCCTCCCTCACCCATGTTGTCCTGTGCAACATGCCCCCTCCCTCACCCATGTTGTCCTGTGCAACATGCCCCCTCCCTCACCCATGTTGTCCTGTGCAACATGCCCCCTCCCTCACCCATGTTGTCCTGTGCAACATTCTACACTGCTACCCATCACGCCAGTCTCTGCAACATTCCTGCTTGCCACTACATGTACGTCATCGCGCTGCCCATTCATACGCCACTTTGCCACCAAGGTGCCAAGGAGTCTTTCTTTGTAGGAATACTAGGGTAATACTGTACAGTGAGAAAGTTTCGCTAGAGGTTAAATTTTTCATCATCGAACATTCGCGAATCTGAATCGCCGCGAACTGCTCTGTGCATTGATAGTAGACTGTACAAGATCCAACTGAAGAGATTTAATTGCGGAAGTTTCTCAGCGTGAACCAGCGCAATTCTTGAAAACGCAAAATTTACGCGCCACGAAAGTTACTCGCTTTACGGTATTCGAATTGACTCTGTTGAGCTTATTCTGCTGATGATTGTGTATGTAGCCGGTAACTCTGAGTAGGTATGCACAGGTTTCCTTCCACTGGGCCTTGTGTGGGTAAAAGCTCTGCAGTACTCACCAGTCAGCACCCACATTGAGCACTCTGACCTGTTGTCAAGGTTACACGTTGCACTGTACACCTATGCATGTGAATTCCTGTCCATCCGCCTTCCTGTCTGCCTGTGCTTGATGTCCAGCAGTTGGTGTTCTGGGCTGCATGGCACTTGAGCAGCAAGAGTGCAGCAGCAGCAGCAGCTCCAGTGCTTTTCCTTGGGTACCAATGTGTCTAGCTGGTGCTTGAGCATCACCATCACCGGCAGTATCACCACCACCAGCAACAGCAGCAACATCACCGGCAGTATCACCGTCAGCAACAGCAGCAAGATCACCACCAGCAGTATTACCACCACCACCACCACCAGCAACAACAGTAGCAGCATTGATCACTGTGCATGCGTGTAGCCTACCGCCATGGAGCAGACTTGCCCGAGATGTCGCACCAGCACCTTCCAGAACCCTCACCTCAAGCTCATGGTGAACGTTTGCGGCCATCGCCTGTACGTACATTGTTACCAAGAAGGTAACATACGTAGGTTTTCGCTGATGACATTGTGCACCATATTTTCATGACTATAAGTCCCGCCAAGAGTGCACTAAACATGAAGGCCGGCGAAAGGGATTCGACTCGCTATTGAACACAACCTCCTATTCATGTGAAGGTATTGAAACAGTGGATTGTTGCTTCGAAGCTCACGCATCAGAACGTGTGCGTGCATTCCAGAGAAAGTGTGCGTGCAAAATGGCTGAGCGCGGCAACGTCCCGATCCTAACTCTGTGTTGTTTTGTACACGGCATTATAATGCATGTGCTATGCCTTTCTGTTCATTATCGCCAACCTACCCTGGGTCTTCTCAAATTCTTCTGTTGGTTATCATCCTGTTGTGTTTTCCAGGTGTACGAACTGTATCGAAGCCGTCTTCACCCATCCAACGTCGAATTGTTTAGACTGTGGAAAGTTACTGCGGAGAAGTGAATTCAGGGCACAGCTGTTTGAGGATGCTAGCGTGGAGCGAGAGGTGGACATACGCAAGCGGATTCTCAGAGAGTAAGCCCCAGATTCGCACTGTGCCTGCCATGTCTCTGTCTCTCTCTGTCTCTCTTTCTCTCCCTCTCTCTCTCTCTCTCTCTCTCTCTCTCTCTCTCTCTCTCTCTCTCTCACTCTCACACACTCTCTCTCTCTCACACACACACGTGCGTGTATTGTTCTGCTCTGTGTTCTACCAGCACACTGACCCTGTATAGCCAGTGGAGTCTAACTGTTGGTATGAAAACCGCACTTGAATAGAAGCCACTCTACCATGCCTACGTGTATCTCGAGATGCTTGTAATGTGATCCTAGCTCAGTGCGCATACAGGTACTCTCAGAACTGTTGTAGAGCTGGTGAACTCTACAGAATGGTGAATCACTTTGTCATGTCCCCCCTGGTGCTGCAGATATGCTTCTTTCTCCATTTCTACACTCACAATATCTATGCCAATGTGGAGCTTTCGAATCCACCCAGGTGCCGGTATCCTCCTTTTATTAAATTTTGGCTCTGTGTTGTATGTGCGTGTGCATGCATGCGTGTGTGTGTGTGTGTGTGTGTGTGTGTGTTTGTGCCAGCTAGTCCGGTTGGTGGGTACACTTATGCCTGATTGTGTTGGGTCTGTTGCCAACAGGCTCGGCTGCTTGAAGGTGTATTGTTGTATCTGCCACCTTTGTTGATTTCAGGTTACTTTCTATTTGAAGTATACATACCTGTTAACCATGGACTGCTTCTGGCTAGATTAACTCTTGTGTAATCAATGATACTAGTGACGCTTAGATCAGATCCACTCTGATTTAGCCACCCACACTAGTAGCAAGTATTACCTTCACTGGGGGCAGGGGTAACTGCAGTTGGATCCCAGGACGGATACCCTGATGCCGTCAATCCTTTTTCTGCACCTTGTCCTCACCCACTTACTGAGGTGTGGTGAGCCCATAAGTGGGATCATTTTCAAGTCCACCCAGAGTTTTGGGGATTTCAGGGGGTGTCGGCCGTTGGGCGGTTCAATAGCCAGTTGAGTCATCTTTCCAAGATTCCTTTGGAGTCTCTCTCCCCTCTCCCGGGGAGACCCACGTGACCAGTTTTGGCAGTGAGCAACAAGTAAGTACAAGTACAATTGTGTTTGGGTGTGCTTGTATTTCTGGTGTCCTTAGTTATAATAAGCGACAGGAGGATTTCAAGACGTTGAGGGAGTACAACGACTATCTGGAAGAAATTGAAGAAATCAGTAAGTTTTGTTCCAGAATTACTCTCTTGCCGACTTGATCCACTCACCCCGAAATCACATACAGAGACCGCATAATACTTCTACAATCCATTCATAAAATGTAATACTTGAGTTTATGCATAACTATGATGAAGAAAGGAAAAGGACAAAATGTTACGAGTTATGACAAATGCATAACTGTTTAAGTCATCTTTTCTCAATTTTCTTCACAATCCTTTTTGGACACGGTTTTCCCAGCATGAACTGTGGCTGGCCTCCGAAACCAGGTTTTCATCGGCATGTCTTCTCTGTGCTTTGGGATTTATGTGATATCTCGCGTGATGTCTCGTGTGCAGTACCAGCAGGACAGAGATTTTGAAAATGTTCCGGATATTCTGTTATGCGTTTTTGCTCAGTTTTTAACCTGGCCAGCGGCACTGACATTGAGCAGACGCAGGAGCGTGTGGAGAAGTACCGTGCCGCCAATCAAATGCAGATCGTGAAGAGTCGCTCTATGCAGGTCAGTGACATCTTCTCTCTTTCTTTCTCTCTCTCTCTCTCTCTCTCTCTCTTCTCTCTCTCTCTCTCTCTCTCTCTCTCTCTCTCTCTCTCTCTCTCTCTCTCTCTCTCTCTCTCTCTCTCTCTCTCTCTCCCCCCCCCCCCCCCAAAAAACCCCAAAACCCAGCCATGCACGAGCATTGAACGCGAATGAAGATACCATCGGATCTACGAAACTGATGAACTGCTTCAGTACAGTGAGAAAGTGCTGCTTTGTGCGCCACACAGCTTCATCGTCCTTAGAGGTTGCGCGTGTGTGTGTGTGTATGTGCGTGCGTGTGTGCATGGGGTGCGCGTGCGTGAATGTTTCCCTGTTGCTCTTCAGGCCCGGCACATCCAGTCTATGGAGCAAGAGCTGGCGGCCGTTCTTGAAGTGGATGAGATGCAACAGCAGATGCAGCGAGCCGAAGCAGAAAGACTAGCGGAACTGCGTAAGAAAGCCCGTATGGATGTCATTGATTTACTGGTAAGTTCTCTGACCGCAGGCTCCTGCAATGCTAGTATAACCGTGTCGGGGTTCTAGCCAAAAGGGGGCAGGGAGGGGGGGGGGGGGGGGGCAGCACCCCCTACTCTAATTGTCTCTCTCAGTTGTCGATTTTTGTGTCTTTTCATGCCGTTCAACGAAAATGCAGTGTCACTACTGGAGGGTTCACAACGGTATATTTGTGTGGGGTGAAGTCGGTTGTTCGCCCCAGACCGTTACATTAGGTATGGCAAGACACGTTTAGAAAGCGGAGCAATGGGTTACAGGGTAACTGTCCCCCCGCCCCTCCTACTATTTTTACTGGGCTAGAACCCTGCTTGTATACCTTTGACCTGTGCGGATGATGATTATACTAAATAAGGACACTGAGGTTACGTTTGGTTGGTCACATTCCCAAATGGGAATCACTCAGAATCATTCTCGCCCGTTTGGTTGGTCAAAAAAGTGCGTTAGGTTGGATTCTTTTTGGAGAATGATCATTCCACCTCACATGCTGGAATGAGCATTCTCATTCCGGAATCAAAAATGATAATGATTGCCACGAGCCCAACAATGTAGCAGTAGGTTCAAGTGCCTCAAATCATGCACTCAGAAGTACCTTGACTCTCTCAAGGAAACTAGAGTCGGGTAAAAGAGAAGAGAGCCGCCGTTCCACAACGACATCATGGAATTGTTATGTCAAATGATTCCTAGTTGATTCTGGCGCGCTTGTTCGGTCAGGTGATTATTACCCATTCCCATTCCAGAATGGTTTTCATTTGCATTCTGAAAATGCCCAACCAAATGCAACCTGAGATGGAGGCGCAAAACCCATTCCAAAAATGCTAGCAATCCAACGAGTCAAATCTATCTGAGTCCAAGTGTACCTCGATCTGAAATGTTAAAAGAGGCGGAGAAGTGACAATAGTTCGAGAATCGCACTGAAGAATGAACGGAACGAACTAAATCACCATGCCACAAAGGCTTTACTTGCACAATCACGTATCTATAATGCTGTTGGTTTATCTAATACTGTACAGGCAGAACATTTCGTCGGTGAATAATTTCGTCCAACTCCAAAGAAAGGGAGTTTGTCCGGTTGTAAATTTCGTCAATGGATCATAGGAGTGTATAGAAAAGCTGGACAAATCGACATTCGTCCGGCAGTTAATTTAGTCCAAAAGCTCCTTGGACGAAAAAGACGAAAATAAATTCCAGACAAATATTTCTGCTTATACAGTAGCATGTATCTACTACATGTGGTTATTTTGGCCTGTTACAAACAAGTGATGCCAGCAGTTCAAGACGGTTATGCTTTACGCGACGTTACGACAATAGCGTTCGTCGTGTGTCGATTCAGCTCATTCTGCTCATTGTGTTTCTCCAATTATTGTCACCTCGCCTCCGCGTGAAGATTTCGGTTTTATCATATGAACTGGCTGGAAAACTCGCTGTGAAATCAAAGAATTATCCCGTACGGAAGTATGAAAAAATGATGTTATACGTCCATGTCTTACTGGAACTCTCTCTCTCTCTCTCTCTCCTCTCTCTCTCTCTCTCTCTCTCTCTCTCTCTCTCTCTCTCTCTCTCTCGCTCTCTCTCTCTCTCTCTCTCTCTCTCTCTCTCTCTCTCTCTCTCTCTCTCTCTCTCCCTCTCTGTATTTGCTGCCGCTACTACTATAGGCTACAACTTCTCGGCCTGGTGAAGCAGTTCGTCAGCATTTGCAGAAGCTAGATGATTTGAGCCGGCCGACCGAGATAGCTGCACCTCCTGCGCCAAAAACCCTGGGAACGGTACGTGTCACATTGTACAGTGAAACCTGTCTAAGACGACCGCCGCTCAAGGGACCTTCAAAACGTGGTCTCTGTTACCAGCTGGTCTCCTTATCCAGGGTCGTTTGACTGCAAAAAGCATCCCGTGGTCCTGGTTACAGTGGTCTTCTGGGGCAGGTGGTCTTCTGGGACAGGTGGTCTTCTGGGGCAGGTGGTCGCCTCGACAGGTTTTACTGTACACATTTAGACATTTTACCTTGCTGCTGTTGTGGCTTGCTGTGGCTTCACTGCAAGTAGATATACTGTAATCCATATCGTTTGTTCCTACTCCCAATCCTACTCGTTTTGTTCCTGTCCCTGTTTCTCTGATTGTTCTAAGTAGTGGTAATAAATTTGTAACTAATAACCACTGACCTATCCACTGTCCACTGCAGGTTCGTAAATCTCTCCTTCTTATGTCCATAGTCATGGTATTCAACCAGGAGACTGATTTAATGTTCTCTTTCTATCTGTCTCTCTCTCTCTCTCTCTCTCTCTCTCTCTTCTCTCTCTCTCTTTCTCTCTCTCTTTCTCTCTCTCTCTCTCTTTCTCTCTCTCTCTCTTTCTCTCTCTCTCTTTCTTTCTTATTATTTCTGCTTTTCATCTCATAACAAAAATTCCGCGCATTTCTCTCCTCTGCGCATATAAAATCTAGACTGACAACCTGCTTGTTAAATCATGCACCTGCTTTCAGGCGTAAAAAACCCTGTTGTAGAGGTCTCAGTCCTCGTTTGTCAGACTTACCTGTCTTTATAAATGTAACTTACTCTCTCTCTCTCTCTCTCTCTCTCTCTCTCTCTCTCTCTCTCTCTCTCTCTCAGGGTCATGAAACCTTCATCCCGACAATTCCAATGGACGAAGGCCACGCATACGTGTATGTGCCTGAGAGTATCGACACGGATGGTCCGCCACTTCTATCTCTTGACGAAATCACTCAGCGTGGGTAAGGGCGTGTTCTGAATGTGAAGTCCTATGACAACTGGTTGTGCAGCAAGAAAAGGGCAAATGCCTGGTTGTATTCTGCCCTGTATGTGCGTGTGTGTGTGTGTGTGTGTGTGTGTGTGTGTGTGTATGTGTGTGTGTGTGTATGTGTGTGTACGCGTGCGTACGCTGGCCTGTCTCTCATCAAGGCATGTTAGGACCGGCTCTTGCTTGCTTCTCTTGATTTTACCATATCTTATAAGTACAGCACTGCTCAATGAAAGCCAGTAGCGTCACTCAAGTACGCGCCGGGCGTTGCGCAGCCCTAGACCTGCGAACACCGGGCTGTGAAGTGGTGCAGGGCGCAAACTCGAGTGACGCGACTGTATTGCATTGAGCAGCACTGTATAGCAATCCGTTGCGTATGTGTACACGTAGACATACGTTCACTTTGTGCCTGCGCACTTAGATGGAACGGCACCTTGACAGACCATTTTGATGGCCTGAGCAGTCACTCAAATATGTTCTGGGGAAGGAAGCTGACACGCCCAAGATCCTTAGTTTAGTCGTAGTCGGTCAAACAGGGTCATTCTTTGGTGCCGGTCCATTCCGTTCAAGTTCCCTACACTTTCGTATTGAATTGTTGTGTCACAGAGGTGGCTCTGAAACATGGGTTGGTGTGCACTCAAAATTTACCTCGAGTTCTGAAATTGCCTTGGTGCTTCTGGGGGTATTGCTGAATCACGGCCGGTACAGAGAAAGGATCACTCTGGTGTGGGCCTCCATTTGTTGCCATTGCTGGAAGGTGGCTTGTCGGCAAGATACAAGCCATGCCCCCCCCCCCCCCCCCCTTAACCTGCTAGAAGAAGTACGGTCAGTTATGTGGTAACCTGCAAGGGTGATAGTGGTGGACATGCTTGCATTCTCAAATTTGTGCAATGAGTTGTGGTTCCGTTTGGGGTCATCTGTTCAATCTGGGATTTCCAGCATCTGGCTAGTTGTTGGGGTTTGGACATCAGCTTTTTTGACACTGTGACCACTCGACATTGGTGGTACCTGTACCAGAGTTGATTTTCGTAAGAAGTGTTACCCTAATTGTGGTTGTATTAGCGAGTATCTCAAAAACTCACCTGTTTGGCATGGCCCATCTGCACTCAAATACTCATCAGTTGAGGGAGTTGAAAAGGGAAAGCTTTCCGCATTGGAACACCTGTTTTGCTCAATTCAATGACTTGCCTACCGTTGCAATAATTTGTGCGTGTGTGTGTGCGTGTGTGCGTGTGTGTGCGCGCGCGTGTGTGTGTGTTTGTGTGTACATGTATGTTTTCAGCTACTCTCAACATTGGAGGTCACTGACGCCCACAGAAGCTGCTGGCGGCTTCACAATGGACCATGCCTGCTCCCGTGTCTTGCTCGACGCTTTCTCTGGCCTATTCTGCCCCGCGTAGCGTCAATGCCACCCGTTACTATGTGTGTGTGTGTGTGTGTGTGTGTGTGTGTGTGTGTGTGTGTGTGTGTGTGTGTGTGTGTGTGTGTGTGTGTGTGTGTGTGTGTGTGTGTGTGTGTGTGTGTGTGTGTGTGTGTGTGTGTGTGTGTGTGTGTGTGTGTGTGTGTGTGTGTGTGTGTGTGTGTGTGTGTGTGCGTATGTGCGTATGTGCGTGTGTGTGTGTGCGTATGTGCTTGTGTGCATACATTCTTGAGTATGTATGACTGTATGTTTTCTTTCTTTCTTTTAACCATGTGTATATGAACATTCTACACGTACGTGCTGGTTTACCTACACCACTGGCAGCACATGCCCAATTCCGTTCGTGGCAGTCACCATTGGTATTTGAGCTTTACCCCCGACCGCGTACAGTTCTCGTTGTAGCTGCGTGCTCCTTCCCGGATGAGCGGTTTTGGATCCTCTGGCTAATCGTGGCTCCGTAAATTTTATTTATTCCATCTTTTCTAGAAAACGTACTCCTTATGGTGGAACCCAGCAGATCTATCACAAAAATGCTCATGAAAAGAACAATCTTTGAATTGCATATTCTCTCATGCAACAATAATAATTATGTTACACGAAGGTGCTGGTGAATTGCACCACTCCATGCAGTGACAGGCGCTTTGTTATTATTATTTTTTCTGTCTTTTTTTTCTTTTAACCAGTTTCAATGCCGTATTTCAGTCTGTTCACTCTTTTTAGAACACCTCATCTCACCTGGAGGCATGTTGAATGATCATGATTGATATGTTCCATCGTTTGTTAGGTGACATGTTTTTGATCTTCTGTCATCAGCTCAATGCCAAGTCTGGCCCGTACTCTACTGCTAGTACTAGTACCTAACCAACTTGCACTGCTGCAGTATGCGGTGGCTTCAAGAACAACATCATTTGAAATTACGTTTGTGTGTCTTCTTGTGTGTTGGAGTTAGAAGCAGTAGCTGTGTTTGATAGCAAAGGTATGTCTTGGGGGGGGGGGGGGTGTACTCTTGTTGATGGTGACAAATTGATAATAATAATATTATTATCAGCGTGCTCCAGACTCCCCGGATGCACAATAATCATCTGCTTGCATGAGCTCTTGTCGCATTAACCCCTGGTGTGATGCACCCCTGCTGCTGCTGCTGCTGCTGCTGCTGCGGCTGCTGCTGCTGCTGTTGCTGCTGCTGCTGCTGTTGTTGTGCTGTTCCTGCTGGATGCTGCTGCTGCTGCTGCTGCTGCTGCTGTTGTTATTGTGCTGTTCCTGCTGGATGCTGCTGCTGCTGCTGTTGTGCTGTTCCTGCTGGATGCTGCTGCTGTTGTTATTGTGCTGTTCCTGCTGGATGCTGCTGCTGCTGCTGTTGTGCTGTTCCTGCTGGATGCTGCTGCTGCTGCTGCTGCTGCTGCTGCTGTTGCTGCTGCTGCTGCTGCTGCTGCTGCTGCTGCTGTTGTGCTGTTCCTGCTGGATGCTGCTGCTGCTGCTGCTGCTGTTGTGCTGTTCCTGCTGGATGCTGCTGCTGCTGCTGTTGTGCTGTTCCTGCTGGATGCTGCTGCCGATCACCAGCATCCAGCAGTATCCTGGTAGAGTACCGGTCGTGGTATCAACATGTATTTGAAAAAGTATGTGTGTATGGGTGCGTGTGAGCATGCGGGCCGGTGGTGTGTGTGTGTGTGTGTCAAGTTGCTATGTCTAACATAGCTGTTCGCTATCATCGCTTCTATGATGGGCAGGTCTGAGGTGAGGTGTGTGTGTGTGAGAGTCTTGTGCGTGCGTATGTGCGTTCATATGAAAATTATTGTGTGCATTCATGTACGTGTGTGTGAGTGTATGTGTGTGTGTGCACGCGCGTGCATCACGGTGTGTGTGTCCATGTGTGTGTGTGTGTGGTGTGTGTTTTGTGCCAGGCCCATGAGTCATTATTGACATTTTAGATCTACCATATACTGTACATCATGGTACATGTACGAGACAGGGAGTCGTAAAAATAGGTATTTTACGACTCCCTGGTACGAGAGCTGGAGATCAGCAGACTGACGTCATCATGCCTAGCCTCTGACACACCCACGCAACACAGTCAAGGAGTCGTAAAATACCGGTATTTTAGGACTCCCTGCTGGACTGTTGAGTGACTGTGATGCAGCTTTCCATGCACACATGGCATGTGTGCAAGTGAACCATACATGTGTGGTTTGAGCACTTCAATTTTTCCTTGACGTTCCTTTTCTTGCCAAACTCACCCTCCAGATTTCTCAACTTGGTACCGGTTCGGTGAAGAAGTCCTTGATTTGTTTGGAGTAGTTTCCATCATGTTGGCCCGACTCCGATTTTCAGCCCTTCGACAGGTGAGAGGCAATCCTATTTTCTGGAACTATCAGCAGTTAGGGACAAGCCAATGACATTAATTTTTTCTCTATTTTTTGTGTGTGTCATTGGATGGCAGGGTGCGCAGCAATGGGCGCGTATGGCTTCAAGCGCGGTGAGTCATGCTGCGCTGCAGGTGTTTTGGTCATCTGTTGCATCTTCCATGGCATTGAGGTTGACAGCGAGTCATAGCTCTTCCTCTTCGAACCTTTTTTCGCCATGAGTATTACATTTGAACAGGTTACAAGTCATACTTTGTTGCATAGGAAACCAATCAATAGGGCTGACGGTTGAGCAGCGAAATAAAAGAATTTGAAAGTTTCAGACACGCATCAAACGTAATTCCCACCAGAAACGACACCACTTGTATTTCATTGATAAATGTTGTAGTGAAATTGTTTACTCAGTAACTGTGCCATCTGTAATTATGCTTTGGCAGTTCATACAGCAGATGTGTGTTTCCACCCGTAACAACACGTCTCAGTGATGTGTACAAGCAGCTCCCTTCGAGTTAGAGTAGAGATCCTCAGCAATTGGCTGAGAGTAGCTAGAAATGGGGCAGTTGATTTCATTGATACGCCTGACGGGCCAGGCTGACGAATGTTGATGTCACCTGTGGTGTGTGTAGACGGTGTATGCACGGAATTACGGTAGGAAATACTAGCTGGCATTTAAAAACATACTGTATGTGTGGATGTCTGTACGTGTGTGTCTGTGTGTGCATGCGTGCGTATGTGTGTGTCGGTGTGTGTGTGTGTGTGTGTGTGTCGTTGTGTATCCCTTTCCCATATCCAGCCCAACACAAAGATATTTGTGGGTGGTGAGATGCGTGAATCAGCCACTGACCGATGGATAGATGTGCACAATCCGGTAAATACACTACCAATTCTCTCTCTCTCTCTCCTCTCTCTCTCTCTCTCTTCTCTCTCTCTCTCTCTCTCTCTCTCTCTCTCTCTCTCTCTCTCTCTCTCTCTCTCTCTCTCTCTCTCTCTCTCTCTCTCTCTCTCTCTCTCTCTCTCTCTCTCTCTCTCTCTCTCTC